GGTATATCACTGGACAGTTGGGCCGTGGGTTTGTATACATAGTATGTATTAATAATGTAATAGTGGTTACAGAATATTCTGCCCAATATTGTGGACAACAAGTGTTTTTGTGAACAACAATATGTGTTTTGTATTACATTTATAATACTATAAACAAAAGTGGGTTTAAATCATCATGCTTAATTACTCTTAATTTGTCTGCAAATAATTTTTCTGGACATAGATTTTAGGCACAAATAATTTTACACTTGATATTTGGATAACTGATTTAATTTGTAATGGTATTTGTATTACTGGACAAATGAATTACCATGTTAAAATTTTGTAATAGGAGTGTTAGACATAGGTTTGCCCAAGGACCGTTAATGATACTTAAATAACATAATAGTAAAACGTGTGAGCAATCAGTCTGTATAGAAATAATTATAATTTAAATCAAAATTTTCTGATTATTTAATTTTGTAAAATCACTTGTAAATTAATTTCCATGTCGTTTCATTGTATAAAATGTTTATGTTTTGTTTTCAATTTGTATCATTGTATTAATTTTATAAGTTTTGTTTGCAATCATTTCATTTTTTGAGCATTTAATTGGGATAACAGTTATTAATTAATTATAATTATTAACTAAATTTATAATAAAATTGAAACACAAAAAAATTTCTATAAATATATTAATGTAAAATAATTTGATAGTTTTTAATACAAAATCATATATATTTAATTTGTGTTAATAATTATAATTAATTTTATATTCATTTATATATAATATATTTATTTATAACTATTTATATTATATGTCATATAATTTCTTGAATCTAAACGTAAGCGTAATTGGCGTAAAACCAAATGGTTTTTCTCCATATATACACACTTTCATAAATTTATACTTATTTTATATACAATTAAAATATTCCCTAAAAATAGTGATAATTCTTGCCTTTCATGAGAAATGATGGAGAGATAGGTATAGAGAGATATACACAGAATATTCAGTAATCAAGAATATTCTGGCATTAAAATCACTGGTTGTCAGACATGTACATACGCTCACACTTTACACACATACCGGTGCTATTCAAATGATTTGTATGATATATTATGGTTAAACTATACTAAATAATAATAATTATATGTATGTAAAATTAAAATACTATTTATAAATTTTAAATATATAAAAAATAAATCAACGATTTGTTCAATCGTTTTAATGTAAAAATGAATGAAATAGTAATTCAAAATAAAAATACTAGTTTTATAATAATAAAAACAAACACAAAAATATCAAAAATATATTTATAATAATAAATGAAAAGATGATATAATAATGAGTTGTGTATTTGTGTGACAATATATCTATGAGAGACAACACACCACCAAATGGACGCACAGGTATGCCTACCGGACCCCCAAACAGCACATGTATTTAACCATACAATTCATTTCACTAGATAATAATCATTGAGTTTCAATTCAACTTAAACCACAATTATAACAAACATATGTCTATTTGGTTTGGAGGGCCGGACAGGCGGGTGGGTATATGTGCAGGTGGTGTGGCCAGTGGTGGGACACATCTCCCCGGAGCCAAACACTCCTAATGTCTCTTCATATGTAGGGACAAGTGGTCGGAGCGGGAGAACGATCGCTGACACAACTGGCATTTGAACGGCTTCTGACCCGTGTGTTTGCGGTAATGGCGGGTCAACTCATCGCTCCGGGCGAACTTCCACGTACACCCTTCCCACGTACACGTGTATGGCTTTTCACCTACAATCAAATACATAATAAATACCTTGATTAATATTTTGTTATGCTTAATATTTTTAATATTAAATTTATTAATAGAAAATTTTTATTTAAGATTTAGACAGTCGGGAGGAATGGGATGGGTAGATGCTAGTTGCCGATTAGCTAGATTAAATTACGAAGTATGCACACAATAAATGCTAATGATCATTTGTCTAGAAATACATTATGATCAAATCGCATGTATTATATAACTTATAAACAAAATGTATTGATAATGTGGTGGCGAGGGTTCGTAGACCCGGCACACACACAGTGAGGCATAGGTGCCCTCCCGGTGCCATCGGTTGTCAAATCAAATGTGGTAAAAATAAATCACACGTGAAATATATAGACGACTATTGAAATTATTCAATGAGTTTTGTATGTCTTTCGCTAAACACAAGACAAGTGAGCAATCAGTCTGTATAGAAATAATTATAATTTAAATCAAAATTTTTGTTTACATTTATTTTTAACGTATATCTCATATGTATTATCATTAATATTAGTAAATATAATTTACGGACAAAATCCGATACATTAAACATTAAAAACACACATAAATACAAGTATTCATTAAATTGTTTGTACAGTAAATGACACAATAATATATACATTATATAAATAAAATTGAAATTATAATAAAAATCTATTTGAAATTAAACTGTCTCATTTATTAAATAATAATTATAAAATATTTAAGAATATAAAAGTGTGATGCATGTTAAGTAATCTAGTATTTTACCTTGTAACAATTAACTTTTTTAATAGGTACTATTTGTTGTTAGGTGAGTTACATATATTTTATGATCTATCAATCACTATTATGACAGACACAACAAATATCAAAAGGCAATTTACATTGATCTATGAAAATGTAATAATTAAATTCAACATGTGCTAATCTTATCGGTTAAAGTTGGTTATTTAATTCGTGATTTGATTAAACCATGTGGTAACCTAAACAACCTAGGCAACAATTACTATTATGGTTGGCAATGATTTTTATGATATACACAAATACGAAACAACAGTGTTTTAATAAAATTAAAAACATGTCTATAAATACACCGCAAGCTATGGATATTCATAAATGGTCGGCCCTATTGACCAAACGGGAAAATACTATCATATGTTCACTACTCGGCCGTAATTGTAGGGTAAGTGTCAGGTGAAAGAGAGAGAGAGAGAGAGAGAATAAAACAAAATTAATAAATAAAAATGTAATGGGTTTGCAATACAGTTTAAAAAACAACATTTAACATGTAAAATACAAACAAATTTAATCATGCTGAGTTTTCATAAGTGAATTGTACTATCGAGGGCTGATTGATTAATATTGTTAACCAAATCATTAATGTAAAACAAATTATATAACATATACAGGTATGTGATTTTACAAATAAATGTCAAAATTATCAATTTTTACTTTCCATAGACAACTAAACAAAGTAATTTTAATACATTGTAGTAACTTATTTGTTTGGCAGCGCACAGGTATATCACTGGACAGTTGGGCCGTGGGTTTGTATACATAGTATGTATTAATAATGTAATAGTGGTTACAGAATATTCTGCCCAATATTGTGGACAACAAGTGTTTTTGTGAACAACAATATGTGTATTGTATTACATTAATAATACTATAAACAAAAGTGGGTTTCAATCATCATGTTACTGTTATTTTATTTTGTTAATTATATTTTTGTCTGTAAATAATTTTTTGTGGACATAGATTTTAGGCACAAATAATTTTAATATGATATATGGATAACTGATTTGATTTGTTTATATGGTATTTGTATTACTGGACAAATGAATTACCATGTTAAAATTTTGTGATAGGAAAGTTAGACATAGGTTTGCCCAAGAACCGTTAATGATAATTAAATAACATAATAGTAAAACATGTGAGCAATCAATCGATGTCTGTATAGAAATAATTATAATTTAAATCAAAATTTTTTGATTACTTAATTTTGTAAAATCACTTGTAAATTAATATTAATGTCGTTTTAATGTAGAAAATGTTTATGTTTTGTTTTCAATTTGTATCATTGTATTAATTTTATAAGTTTTGTTTGCAATCATTTCATTTTTGAGCATTTAATTGGGATAACAGTTATTAATTAATTATAATTATTAACTAAATTTATAATAAAATTGAAACACAAAAAATCTCTATAAATATATTAATGTAAAATAATTTGATAGTTTTCAATACAAAATCATATATATATTTAATTTCTGTTAATAATTATAATTAATTGTATATTCATTTATATATAATATATTTATTTAATTCAAAAACTTTATTTATAACTATTTATATTATATGTCATATAATTTCTTGAATTTAAAAGTAAGCGTAATTGGCGTAAAACCAAATGGTTTTTCTCCATATATACACACTTTCAGATTTATACTCATTTTATATACAATTAAAATATTCCCTAAAAATAGTGATAATTCTTGCCTTTTATGAGAAATGACGGAGAGATAGGTATAGACAGAATATTCTGTAATCAAGAATATTCTGGCATTAGAATCACTGGTTGTCAGACATGTACAGTAAATACGCTCACACTTTACACACATACCGGTGCCATTCAAATGATTTGTATGATATATTATGGTTAAACTATACTAAATAATAATAATTATATGTATGTAAAATTAAAATACTATTTATAAATTTAAATATATAAAAAATAAATGTAAAAATGAATGAAATAGTAATTCAAAATAAAAATAATAGTTTTATAATAATAAAAACAAACACAAAAAATATCAAAAATATATTTATAATATTAATAATAATAAATGAAAAGATGATATAATAATGAGTTGTGTATTTATGTGACAATATATCTATGAGAGACAACACACCACCAAATGGACGCACAGGTATGCCTACCGGACCTCCCATAACCAAACAGCACAGGTATCTAACCATACAATTCATTTCACTAGATAATAGTCATTGAGTTTCAATTTAACCACAATTATAACAAACATATGTCCATTTGGTTTGGAGGGCCGGACAGGCGGGTGGGTATATGTGCTGGTAGTGTGGCCAGTGGTGGGACACATATGTAGCCCAACTCCTAATGTCTCTTCATATGTAGGGACAAGTGGTCGGAGCGGGAGAACGATCGCTGACACAACTGGCATTTGAACGGCTTCTGACCCGTGTGTTTGCGGTAATGGCGGGTCAGCTCATCGCTCCGGGCGAACTTCCACGTACACCCTTCCCACGTACACGTGTATGGCTTTTCACCTACAATCAAATACATAATAAATACCTTGATTAATATTTTGTTATGCTTAATATTTTCAATATTAAATTTATTAATAGAAAATTTTTGTTTAAGATTTGAACAGTCGGGAGGAATGGGATGGGTAGATGGTAGTTGCCGATTAGCTAGATTAAATTACGAAGTATGCACAAAAAATACTAATGATCATTTGTCTAGAAATACATTATGATCAAATCGCATGTATTATATAACTTAAAAACAAAATGTATTGATAATGTGGTGGCGAGGGTTCGTAGACCTCCGAGCACTGGCACACACACACAGTGAGGTATAGGTGCCCTCCCGGTGCCATCGGTTGTCAAATCAAATGTGGTAAAAATAAATCACACGTGAAATATATAGACGACTATTGAAATTATTCAATGAGTTTTGTATGTCTTTCGCTAAACACAAGACATAAAAATTAAATGCAATTAATGTTTGGGTGAATACGAGTACAGAGAAAGAAATCAATAAAACAAATCTCTTTTTTTGTGAATTCAATCGTATTTTTGTGGTATCAATGACTTAGAGAGAGAGAGAGAGAGAGAGAGAGAGACTAAAAAGACCCACACGTGAGCTGAAAGATGTTTATTATGCAAAAAAAAATTATTTCATTTTTGAGCCCATATTATGTCTGCAGATATGGTCTCCCAAACTTGTCTGTACAGCACAGGGATGTTGTGTCACACATATCAGGACCACCTCTAAGATGCTGAGAGAGAGAGAGAGAGAGAGAGAGAGAGAGAGAGAGAATGATGATAAGTATCGGCCGTTTGAGTAAATTATACATAAAAACCTCGCTATTAGTACATTATAAACACAAAATGTATATTAAGTTTGTGTACACCTTAAAGGTAAACTAATAAAAGCCACAGTCAGTGGTTACCCCATTAACTAATATACATAATTTGTTATATAATTAGTAAATAAAATATGCAAATATTTATACGAATACTATATTTAGCGGAGGTTTTAATGCAAAACATAAGTAAATGATTAGTATATTTGTCACAAAAAAATAAGTCCAAAGAAATAAAAACAAAATTTCATTTTAAGAAACCGAAGACAAACCCTCTGGTATAGACGTCTGTATTATACCCGAGTTTTTACTTTATTAAAAAAAAACGTATTATTTGTAGAAAGTCGAGTGCACACCCAGAAAAATCAGAGAGAGAGAGAGAGAGAGAGAGAGAGACTCTCTCAGCATCTTAGAGGTGGTCCTGATATGTGTGACACAACATCCCTGTGCTGTACAGACAAGACACACACCAACCAAACCACACACACATTGAGAGAGACCATAGAGACAGCGAGAGAGCACCGGTATGTCAAGACATACCACTCATGAGAACCAAATACAGATATACTTAAAAGATTAGTCAAACAGTATATATGAGAGTGAAGTAAACGATTCCTCAAAGAGATTATAGTCTTCTTCTTCTTCTTCATCGCCAAAGTCTTCAGGACTTGATTTTAACGCATATTTTATTCACTTATTTCTCGCAATAAATACTCCAAAAAAATATTTCTCTTTTACTCAAGAGTTTTGGCAATAAGTTTGTGGTTAAAAGTAATGCAAAAAATAAGTCTTTTACTCTTTCCAGGCTCTCTCTCTCTCTCTCTCTCTCTCTCTCTCTCAAAATCAATTGTATTAATATTTCAAAGTTAATTAATTATTTTCTTTATATTAATTCATATGTTTATAATGTATATAAAAATAAATAACTAGTACAAAAACTTAGAAACTATGTACGTTTAATGAGTGTAATTAGTTGTGATTTAATTAATTAATGTAATTTTATTTTCTATAGAGAATTATATGAGTGTAGTAGTGGTGCAAAACGAGATCACAAAATACTAATTTATATATTTATTTGCAATTTATTTGATATTTTAAAGAAAAAGTTTTATATTTTTTGATATCAAAGTTATATCTCTTTTATATCTCTTAAAAGCAATGAAAAGTGCAATAAATTTGAGTGCATTTTGAGTGGAGAAAG